AGCAGGAAGCCCCGCGTCCACGAGGCGCAGTTCATCAAGAGGCAGCGGCGGAAAGGCTCGTCCTTCCAGATGGCTTCCAACACCGACCTGCAGTGGGACCTGGAAGCCTGCAAGGACGACTGCTGCCCGGAGCTGGCGGACGCCGAGCTGCTGGGGCCGCTGGAGTGCTGCTGCCTGCAGGAGCTGCGGGCCCCTCCGGACTGGCTGGTCACCACGCGCCACGGGCTGCGCTGCATGGCCTGCTGCCGGGTCTTCCCGACGCTGGAGGCGCTGCTGGAGCACGCCCAGCACGGAGTCCACGAGGGCTTCAGCTGCCAGATCTTCTTCGAGGAGATGCTGGAGAGAAGGCGGGCTCGGGCCCAAGCGCAGGACCAACAGCTGGAGGGGGAGGAGGAGGAGGAGGAGAACCCCTCTGACAACAGTGCAGATAGCAGGCCCCGGGGTCAGGCGCCTGAGCCACCGCAACAGACGACGCAGTGAGCCCGAGCCGCGGTGCCCGCCCCGCCCTCACCCCAGCACCTGGGGCTGCCCCTTCCCTGGCCAGCAGGAACCTAGCACTAGGCCAGGAGAGAGGGCCAGGGTCGCTGGGGAAAGGAATTCCCCGGAGTGCAGAGCAGCGACACAGCAGCCAGGAAGGAGCCCTTCCCAGGGCACAGCATTCCGACCTGAGTCCATTTCAAAACCGGGGTCCAAAGAAGAGGGCTTCAAGTGTTCCCCACGGTGGGCACTGACCTGGCGCAGTGATTTCTGCTTTTGCGGGGTCGCACGGTCCCGCCTGCTGTGGAAGTAAACGTGACTCCGGAGAGCCAACCACTTGAGCTCCCCCTATTTTTGACAATGTTGGGAATGTGCTGTTCTATGTCTTATGTTATGGGATTAAACTTGAATAACTCAGAATTGAAGGCGGTGAGGAATTGAGTGAATCATGTCTGCTGGGGAGCCTGGAAGCTGCCATTTCTGTAGGTCACATGCTAACAACACAGCTTTCCGGCAGAGGTGGGGGCCCAGGAGGTCCGCGGCTGCGAGTTCAGGTATGCCAACCCTACACTATTTATTTATTTATTTTAGAGAGTTTGTTTATTTATTTATTTATTTATTTATTTATTTTTTGCTATAAGCATGTGGGCTCGCCAGAGAGACAGCTAGGGAGATAGAAAACAAGAAATCACCCTCTGGTGGGGGGTGTGGGGGGGTAGGAGTGTAGGCTTGCCACAATCCTTTCTCCTCTGTTCTCTCAGGATTCTGGGCACATGTGCACACGCACCCAGTGTGAGTTTTAAGCCCCTGGGTCTGGAACTTGAACCGCAGTCGAGTAAGTGGGAGTCCAGCAATGTAACCTTTATACCATTAGCTGGGCCCGCCAATAACACTTTTAAGTGTTGTCACCAAACTTGTCTTCACCCTCCTTTTTGGCTCTAGTCCCCAGCTCGGGGGCTGCATTCACTTAAGAGAAGACACCCACCGTGACCTGTTGCATGTTAGGTAAGGCAGTAGGACACGAACCTCTATCTTCATCTCCTCCAGTGTGGGGTGCTTAGCATAGGCAACTGCAAGGAAAGGGACGAATCCCATCAAGGAGCTTTGGGGAACCCATAGAGGGGCCCTGAACCCAGGCTCTTTAATCAAGAGGAAAAATTGCATCGAAAGGCACTGTTCACAGGGCCTCGGGGACAGAAAGTGTAAGTGAGACTTGGGCTTCTCGCCCGCAGGACCGTTGACACTGTTGGCTAAATAATTCATTGTGGGGATCGGCTTGTTGTAGGATGTTAGCAGTGGGACCAACAGTTGGTATAATGGTATAATGGCTATGTTGCTGGACTCCCATGTAGTCTACCACGGTTTGAGTCCTGGGCCTGGTGTGGCTTAAACTCACGCCAGATGTGTGTGTCTGTGCCCAAGATCCTGAGAGGAGATTGGAGGAGACGGGATTGCCGCATGGCCATCCCCCCGGGGGAAGGTGATTTCTCGCTTTCTGTCTCTCTGTCTCTGTCTGTTCGGGCAACACACTGCCCCTAAAGAAAAAACCACAAAAAAAAAAAAAAAAAAAAAAAAAAAGAAGAGAGAAAGAAAAGAAAAGAAAAAGAAAAGGATGTTAGCAGCATCTCTGGTCTCTACCCACCAGATGCCATGGAATCCCCTGCCCCACAGTTATGACAAACAAAAATACCTCTGGACATTATTAAGTGTCCCCTTGGGACAAAATGGTTCTTGGCTGAGAATCACGAAGCTAGACAAAAATGAGGATCTTAGAAGAAAAAATGGCTTGGGCTACTGGGGAATTGCTAGCCTGTGACCTGGCTGCAGAGCTGGGGACAATCCTCTTCATGCATTCCATAAAGATGCCGGACAGTGTGAGGATCCAACTGAGGTTGTGTCTGTTCTGCACATGTACAGACTTTCCGTGGCATTATTTATTTCTTAAACAGTGCAGTATAACCACCATTTACAAAGTCTTTACATTTACTGGGTATTAGAAACAATCCAGTGATACCTTAAAGTGCACAGGAGGATGCAGATAGGTTATATGCGAGTACTGTGCCATTTTATTTTGAAGGACTTGGATATATCCGTGTATAGATAGATGGTGCCTACAATTTAAAATGTTACGCAAGCCCCACTTCATGGTCCACAGGACTGCATGGCCCAGCCTTCGCGACCTTCCCCATCACCATCGCTAGTGTCCCAGGCTTCACTCACTGTGCTCCAACCGCACTGGCCCTCCTTTGTTCCTTAAAGACCCAAGCTTTCATATCTCAGGACCTTTGAATCCCCTGAGAGGAATGCAGTCTTTCCCTGTCTCCCTTCTGCTGCTGCCTTGCTCATCTGTGTGATGATGAGCTTAAACGGCACATTTTCAGAGGAGCCCCCCAACCATGCTGCAGCTCGTGCCTCATTCAAAGTGCAGTTGGCCTCCAGAACGGGTGAGGTTTGTATTTGCAAAGCTCTCCCCGGTGGGTGCAGGGTATGGTTGGTATAGTAGCCACAGAAGCCACTGAGACGTGGCGAGGTCTGTCAGGAGGCTTTGCAGACTTCCTGGCCGTGGATGGTGGTGACTTGGACCAACCTGATCCCAAGCCATGTGGGAGAAGAGTGAATGCATTCCAGATATACTTAGAGGCTAGAATCCAGATATCTTGGGAATGGGTGTATGTGGGGGGTGGGAAAAGGGATTCTCAGATTCTAGTAGGAACTAATGGGAGGTGGTTTACATGAATTGATATGGGGAACTTTGGATGAAGATCAGAGGTGTGAGTGTGAATGAACGTGCGTCTGTGTGTGAGCGTGCATGTGAGGTCGGTGTGTGAGTGTGCACGTGTACATGATGTCTGTGTGTGACACGTGAGATTCAATGTGTGAGCGTGAATGTGAGGTCTGTGTGAGCATGCACGTGAATTGTGTGTGTGTGCACGTGAGATCTGTGTGTGACAGTGCACGTGATGTCTGTGTGTTAGCATGCATGTGAGGTCTGTGTGTGAGCATGCACATGAGATTGGTGTGTGAGCACAGTGTATGAGCATGCATGTGAGGTTGGTGTGTGAGCATGCATGTGAGTTGTGTGTGAGTGTGCATGTGATGTCTGTGTGTGACAATGCATGGGAGGTTCAATGTGTGAGTGTGCACGTGATGTCTGTGTGTGGCAATGCACGTGAGGTTCAATGCGTGAGTGTGCACGTGAGGTCTGTGTATGAGCATGCATGTGAGATCTGTGTGTGAGCGTAAACGTGATGTCCGTGTGTGACAATGCATGTGATGTCTGTGCGTGAGCATGCATGTGAGGTCTGTGTGTGAGCATGCACATGAGATTGGTGTGTGAGCACAGTGTATGAGCATGCATGTGAGATCTGTGTGTGAGCATGCATGTGAGTTGTGTGTGAGTGTGCACGTGATGTCTGTGTGTGACAATGCACGTGAGGTTCAATGCGTGAGTGTGCACGTGAGGTCTGTGTATGAGCATGCATGTGAGTTGTGTGTGTGAGCGTAAACATGATGTCCGTGTGTGACAATGCATGTGAGGTCTGTGTGTGAGCATGCATGTGAGGTCTGCGGGTGAGTGTGCACATGAGGTCTGTGTGTGAGCATGCATGTGAGGTTGGTGTGTGACCTATCGTGTGAACAGAAGGACATTGGGCAATCACGGGCAGGAGACAGGCATCGGAATTTCTCTGGCCAGTTACTTGACAAAGAAAAGCAGAGCTAGACAGAGGAAATGGAAACACAGGTGAAGGTGGGAGAGAAAGCAAGTTTACATGCTGATGGAGGTGACCCAGGGAGAGGGAGCAGCCACAGTGCAAGACAAAGAAGGGGAACTCTCAGGAGGGAGTGGAGCCCAGAGAGGACTGAGCAGATATGGAGAGACTAGTCTTTGTGTTCCCTGCAGATAGGAAGTTAAGCCAAGGAAGATTTTGGAGCCAAAACAATTGAACTTGAACTTTTCTCCTTTGGAATACTACAAGGAGTTCTTTAGGGATTTTTAAAAAAAGCTTATTCATTTCCTCCATGAGAGAGAGAAAGAGAGAGAGAGAAACAGGCACACCCAACAAGGTCCTCAAGCCTCAGTCCACCCCAGGGTCAGCAGCCCCAGATCTCACAGGCAGGCACGTGCATACGTATGCCCAAGCATGCTCAGGGTGGTCCTGGGATATGAACTCAGGATCTTTACCATGAAGGTCCAGCTGCACTATCACAGCGATTTAGGGATTTTGAACAAGCCATTTGCATTTATGAATGATAACTCTGGTGAACAGGGCCAAAGATGGATTAGAAGGGATATCGCTGATGACACAGAGTCTAGTTAGAGACTGGTGGCAGCATGAATTCAGGGGAAATTTAGAAAACAGAAAATATAAAGCATGACCAGTCTTGCTGAGGATGTTGAGGATAAGGGTGGTAAGGGGGCCCTGGGTTTGTATCTGGGGTGTCTGGTGAATGTTGGGGCCATTTGCAAATAATGGAACAATGAAAAAGATTTGCTGGGATGCTGGCAAGCCCTCTTCTTAGCAAGCTGAGTTTGAGACAGACACATTCAGAAGGGAGCTAATTAGAAGGTCAGAGCTTGGAAGGGTGGTAAGTGGGATGCAGACAGAGGGCAGCCATCTGCACACGAGTGGAGAAGTGGGCCATGGCACACCCCATGGGCCTCAAGTTGGACGCATCCCTTTGCTGGTCCATATGCAGCAGAAAGCCAGGAGGTCATCTCAGGATGGGCCTGGGCTGTGAGGATGACCTCAGCCTTTTTAAGGTACAAAAGTCAGAGACCTTCTACATTTCCTAGGGAATGGGCCGATGAACCAGAAATAGTGAGCACTAATCAAAAGGAGGGCATTTTTATTTAAATAATCAGCATGCATTGGTACTACATGGGACACGGTGTCGAAGCACTGAAATTTCAGCCCTTAAAAGAGAAGTGTATTTATGTGCTTAACTATGGTATTCTAAAGGCTAAGCATTGTTCTCAAGACTTTGAAAATATTAAATCATCTAATTCTCTGCACAATTTAACACAGTGAGATATGCTATTATCCCTATTTGACAGGTAAGTAAGCAAAGTTCACACAGCTGGTGGATGGCAGAACCCGGCTTCATACTCAGGCAGCCTAGCTCCAAGTCTACGCTGTAACCATAATTCTGAGATGCAAACATTAACATAAAGCCAGGTTATTCAGGAAAGCAAACGTGTCAACTCACAGACTGCATTTTCCTTAGATTAAGGGGCAGCAACTTAATCTAAGGAAATCTAGTCATAGATCGGGAGAAAGATGATGCGCATTCAGGATAAATGAAGGATGACAACTACTTCAGGTAAGAAAACTTTCGGTGCCAAAGATAGCTCCAGCTGGCATGTGTGGGAGAAGAGAACGCAATTATTCTTAAGGTAATGACTTACTGTTAAAATGTAATTAATACTTAAACTCAGTGTAGTTAATTATTAATTTGTGGTTTAAACACATCATTTGGAGAGACCCAGGACCTCTATCAGGTAAGACTAGTATCAGGAAAAGTTGGGGGAACCCTTCCAGAGGTTCAGAGAAC